GGAAAGTAATACTTTACCGCACGCAACGGCAGTTGACCAAACGACGCGAAGCGGAATTCGGTCAAGCCGTTCAGTGCGGTAAAGACACTTTCCATGTGTTAGGTACAAAATTTTACCTATGAGCATCTACATCTCCAAAAAAAGTCATTAGTAAAATTAATTAACGGATCAGATTAATTAATGAAATTAGATTAGATTTCAGGAATGATCAAAAATCCATTTTCTGAAAAAGAAAGGATTTTTAATACCGTGAAAGGGCCCAAAAATTTCGCGCCCGCGGCGCTTTACCTGCTACAGCAGTTGCGGCGGAGCTGCAAGGATCACTTCCTACAAATTTCCCTTGCAACAAGACAAAATCCTGGCTACGCCAATGGTGCTGCTAAAGCCATCATATGCAGGGACCTGCAGGGACAATCAATGATTCAGCGAAGCGATCCTGCAGTGAAATGGGTATCTGCCAACTGGTCACATTTAAGTCTATGTGTTTAGTAGCCTAGTCCTGTCTATCTAAATTGATTCTACTTATATTAATTTTGGGAGCCCGAGCCCCTGTGGTAATTTTGAAATTCCGGCGCCTATATGCAATCAATCCTCACAAAATGATCATAGTACCCTTCACCAGGAGAAAAAAAACTTGATAACTTGGTACTCCTAACTATTCGGGGAGAATTAGTACCATTATCAAATGAAGCAAAGTATTTGGGAGTCATCCTGGACAAGACTCTAAACTGGAACGCTCATTTGGAAAAAGAAAGCCAGAAGGCAAAATTGTCGCTTTGGAACTGCCACAGGATCTGCGGAAAGAACTGGGGAACAATTCCAAAACAGATTCACTGGATCTACATTATGGTTATCAATCAGACCAATGATAACCTATGGCTCTGTAGTATGGTGGGGCAAGGCGAATCAGAAAAGGATTCAAGCCACACTTAGCGGACTGCAGAGAATAGCTTGCCTGGCGATAACGGGAGCGCTGCGTACCACATCTACATCAGCTATGGAAGTCTTCATAAACCTGACTCCACTCAAGATATTGCTAAGTTTTTTTGTTAATATGAATAAAAAGTGAAATGTAATTGAAAATTAGTTGAAATTATGAAATTAAAAGCTCTGGTCTATTGGATATCTAGGACGTTGCAAATTTAGCCCTAGCTCAGAAATTAAATACAGAGAGTAGGGGTGGGTTATTTTTATGGGCGCCACTGACCTTGGACAGAATGGCCAGTATTCTCCAGGCTGTTGGCTGGACCCAAAGACCAAGATATTATGATATAGGCAAAACAAAATAAAAATAAAATATTAAAATATAATAGAATAATGAAATAAAATAAAATATATAAATAATGAATCAGTGAATATTCAGTCCAATCAAAGTAACGCCACTGGTTGGTACTCAAGAGTGAGCTTCCAGAGTCAAATGAAATAAATATACGTAAAGATTCAAAAGCTAAATTTATTTAATAAAAAAAAAATACAATAATTGCTCGATAATTCGTCAGCAATATTCAGATAAATGAATTAGGTAATTATCGGTTACTCAATAGTCAGGTAATAAATATGAAAAGTCAACAAATCAGTTGGAATTAAAAACTGTAGTTCAATACCAAACTCAAATCAGTTGAACAATATGAATTAAATGCAAAGTAATACCTCAATTAAACGCAAATTTTCATAATAAGCACTTCAGTTAAATAACGGTTAAATCCTGTAATAAATCAATAACCCAACCTAGATATTTAGTAACTATTGACTTCAATTCGGATGTAAAAAAAAAACTAGAGTTAGTTAGGCATTAGTTAAAAAAATTAAAAGAGCATTCCGGGTTCAAGTCAATATAAAATAAATCATTGTCATTAATCCAATATATTATATAAACCGGTTCGTTAGTATACGCAATATTACTACCTTTGTGATATCACTCTGGTTTACACCTTCAATTAAATTGTTATAGAATTATGTAACAGTTTATTGCTAGAATTTGGTTGATTATAACCACCTATTAAATCTAAATGTTGAGTTTGAATCTAGTTTTTGCAGTTCAGATAAGGACAATGAGGTTATGAAAAGTGCAATCAAGTTAATTATAAATTGAATTTACGTTAATTATTATAAATGGAATTTAAGTCAACTGGCTTGAGAAAAATTCAATAGATAAGTTTGTTGATACGTTGTTGATCAATTGACAACCTGACAAATATTATCAACACAAAAATTAGGTAACTAAAGGTACAAATTTAAGTTTATAAAAAAAAAAGGTAAATGTATGAACGGTAAAAGGTAATAATTATGATCAATTGTTAAGTTACGATACCACAAAACAGCTGCAGACTTCTTGGTTCTCACTCAGAACTTGATGATTTGAGTAGGTCTCAAGGATTGGCTTTGAGAGACCGGTTATTGGTAACGTACTTAACTCTCAGACGGAGAGAAAACCTCAGATTCAAAAACCCTGTCCCACAGGGTTTTCTGGCAAGATAATGGTACTCAGGTCTACGGTACCAAAATGGCTTCCACTTCCAGACACAATTGGTTCAAAATCCGTACAAACGACGATTTAAGTTACAGATTCAAAGGCAAAAAAACGCAACAGATAAGCACTGTAACTTAATACTTGTGAGATGCAGGGCTCAAATCCCCGAAAAGGGTAGACTTAAAGGCAAAGGTAACTATTTAACCCTGATCGCTTTTCCAATTGAAAGCTGGATGTCAAAACACCTCTCTTACAAAAATTCTACAAGTCACCTCGCCTAGCGAAATGATGTCCTTGACATTGAACTTTATAAAATTTTGGCCAGGAATAGAGCGAAAATATGACAATCGATACTGATTCTGGAAATAAAATATTTTGCCAAGGAGCTGTGGAAGGAGTTAAAACGTGCCAAAAACCATTACCAACTCTAGATATTAACAAATAGGACAAAACTAAATGCAATAGTAGCAACAATTAGTAACAATAGTGAATAAAAATTAATTTAAGTGAAATTGTTATCGATCAAAAGTCGATACTCAAGATATCAATACTAAAGATTTTAGTGCCCTCAGTATTTAAATTGCAAACTTGTGAAACGGAAGCAATTACAGAAAAATACCAAAATTATAAGAGATAAGCCTTTAACTAGCTAGATGGCGCACCGGTAAATACTTTCGTACAGCTAGGCGCTTTCAAACGAATTTTACCAAAATTGAACCGGTAAAATTATTAACCGGAAAGATCATCGATCTAAAAACAACTTGTTTACTCAAACAGCTGATTCCAAGCTAGAAATTATATACTTTTGGCAAATATGTAAATAATTAATAAAATTTGATTTTATAGCTAAAGGATCTAGGATTATTAAGATTTGATTATGAAGGAAGGCACAGTTAATGGAAAAATTGTCCTTGATATAGAAAATTTGCAAAACAATGAATTAATTTTGATAAGGTAATTTTAAATTAATTTAGGCACGTTACAATATATGTGCAGAGGGAAGCAATGAGGTTAACCTATCGGCTGTACCTTGCTTCAAAAAGCACTTTGGAGGGGAGTAGCGCAATGCAACACACAGTGCTTGTGGATGAAATAAATTGACACGGCACCCTCAGCATGCTTTCTGACATAATGCCAAAGAAAACCAACTTTGGTTTGCCCTTCAAAATAATGATTCACGACAGAGAGCTATGGGCCAGCAACAGGACCAAGCTACTGAGGGCAGATCTCTGCCTGTACACAGATGCCTCCAAAACTAAACATGATGTCAAAGCAGGGGTATTGGTGAAAACCCAAGGCGGGGAATTTTTGTCAGCCTTGGCAAAAACGCATCCATATTTCAGGCCGAATTGCTGGCCATCGAGCTTGGCGCGAAAAAGCTGCTGGAAAAGTAACAAAGGCACAAGTCGATAAAAATATTTTCTGACAACCAAGCTGCGCTGAAAGCACTGGCATTCATACATTGCATGTCGAAAACAGTATGGAACTGCAATCAAGCCCCTACCCAGCTAGGGACGTTTCACTAGTCTGGATACCGGGACCTACCAAACAAGAAGGCAACGAAAAAGCGGACCAACTTACAAAAGCTGGATCGGAGCCAGTACTGGGAATAGCCCTGAATACGGCTAACCTCACAATCTGAACCTGGGTCAATACAGAGGCCAAACAATATTGGTCAAGACTACCAGGCATGAACCATGCGAAATCCTTTGTACCCTGTCCAAAAGGGGGGAAAGTGGCAGACATACTTCTGGGAATGGGAAGTGCCGACATCAGACCACTCACAAGAAACCTAAAATGTGTATATTTATCCATCAAAGATGTTGAATCTGATAGTGTATTCAAATTGAATAAAGCTTTATATGGTTTGAAACAAGCTTCTAAATGTTGGAATAATAAAATTAAGCTCCCTCTATATCAATGAGTACGCATAAAACGGTTTCTTGATTTGAGTGTGTCCCTTCAATCTTAGTAACAAGACTGTATAGAGCTGTCTGAGTTGATTTCCATAAGGAATTTACTCCTTATAGTAGATGATATATTTACTACACTGATTAAGAAGAAACAATTTGTGACATAGGAATAGGAAATCAAAAGTTAGACAAGCTTCTTGCTTCTTTAAGTTTGATGATCAATAATCAAAAACTCCTTTGAAAAAGGTTGGCCCTGATATACCATCAAATTATAAGTCTCCAAACCTAAATCTTAGAAAGTAAAACTAAAAAATTCCACCCCAACAACCAAATTTCTTTGTTCTGCTATGAAAAATTAACTTTTCAATATTCACTGTCGAGCCATTGACGTCGAACATGTCGAAAGCTAATAGTAATTTTCGAAGCGTAAAATTAAATAATTGAATTTTAATTGGTGCCACGTCAAAAGGCAAAAAACGGTGTGTCGCCCAGGCTTTGTGTGCGAGCGGAATATTTTATTAAGTTAACCGGTGTACTGCAGAGGCAATATTGAGTCGATAACTAGCAGCAGGGAAAAGTTAATGACTAAAATCTGAAAAAAAAAATCTTACACGTACCTTTCTGGGTTGAAATTCGTATTTTACACAATGCTGGAATCCTTTGCCTTTGACTTTCATTGACGTCAAAACCAGACAGTTGCCCACAAAGTGCGCCGTGTATCCTACACCTTTGCTGGTTTTGAAGCTGCAGAAAAGTTAACAATATATTTTTTGAAATTTCAGCAAAAATCCTTACCAATATAAATAAGGTTTCTCTCTTTCGATATTGACCGAGTTGATAGGATCCAAACGAAACCACGTTGTGAAGGTGAATCCGTTTTCGTATGGCCATTTCGCCAAGGGAGGTAAGACTACTGCCTGGAATTTCAAATAATGAAGGTAATATTTTTTGATTACGGACTTTTGGATGTTTCTTAAATATCTATACATTAAAACATATTGACAACAAATCCAAGAAATATTCTCACGATTCGCCATCTGGCCAATAGTAATCAACTTAGGACTCTATCGACGTTCCCCCGATAAAAATTTACGCAACACGCTCGACAAAATTGTACCAAATGTGGCACAGCCGAGACCAATAAAAAGAGATTTTTAGTATCGAACCCCTCAAACAAAAGGTCCGCTAAATGGCGAAAAGCAAAACCTGACAAAAGTATAAATTGTCGGATTTTTATTGAATGGGATTTTTAACGAGCCACTTATGTACGAAACTTTTTTCATAATTTATTTGGTTTTGAGTGGCATTTTTTCCATATTTATAAGAGCTTCAAGAATATTAAAAATGTAAATGTATACAGAAAAAAAGCGGAGAGAAACTTAAATTAGTTTTGGAATTTCGTACAATTTAAGTGAAGTTTATATAATCCGACGAGTGAAGTATAACTCAAATATTATCACAAGTGAGGTTTAACAGATCTAAATACAAAATGAGGGTTTTGAGATTTTAGGTAAAATTACAATTGTCACGTAAAGTGTGGTAAATATTTAAAGTAATTTTTTTTGAAAACTCTTGTCCTGAATCAATCTGAATATTTTTTGGTAAAATTAAACAAATATAATCCTTGGTAATTTTTTCCAAGATTTAAGACTTGTGTTGTTACTTACCGATCCTTTCCTGCCCGGAAAGCTGAAGAAAACTTCGGGGCCGGACCTCTGGGGCATCTGACGCAGGACGTTGAGCAGTTTGGCCGAGTGCCGGGGCTGAAACAGAAAATGCGGCCGATCAAAATAAATTGAAACGTTTTCTAATTGGATTCGAGCCGCGCTTCTCATCCGGAAAGAATATTAATCCGGTTTTCAAGGGATTTTGCGTGGTATCTCTTTTGCAGTGGGAAATCTTGAGGAGGCTTTAATTTAAAGTGTTTTTAACGCTCTAGAGCGAGTCTTTCAATAATAAAACCCTAGCTTTTATGAAAAAAAAAAAAAAGTAATATTGAGTCCAAAGGAATTTATTTAATTGAATCCTGACCCTTTTTGAAATAGAAATCCGAAAAGACTATTACATTTTTCAGGTCGATTTGACAAACCTAATGGAGAACATGCATTCGGAATGATCGTCGTCGGATTTTTCGGGTCTTTTCTCTCTCTGGAGGTCGGTAGCAATTTATTTGAAATTGGTTCCTGGATTTAGTAGTTCACAATCGGTGCATTTTTATGCTTTGTACGCATTTGAAAAAATATATGAATGTTACCAGTAAATAAAAGATTTGTTTGAGAGTAGTAGATGTACTGATCCCAGATAGACGGGTTCACGTATCATATCAGGCAAGGTGACTGTCTATAACTCCCAGGCAGAGGGTTCACTTCATGGTTCACTTTAGTATCATTGTCAGATTGTCAGATTATCATTGTTTTTGTGTAGCTTTTCTCAGTATCAGTCTCAGAGTATGAGTAAAAGTATCAATCCCAGGCAGAGGGGTTCCGTATCAGTTAAATTGCACCAAATCAGTTAACAGAAGAAAGGAGAAAACATTTCCAAAGAAAAGATCATGAAGCTCCTGAAGGTTTTAGAGGATAAAATAAGCCTCATCATCAGTATTGACGACAAAATTTGGGAGATGATGGTGATCCAAAGATCCAACGACACCGAAATGGTGGCTGAAATGGTAGCAGTAGAGATTTTTAGGGAGAAGATTACAGATTAGAGGAATAAGGTAGAATATTATTTCCTAAGTTGTGAAAGTCGGGCCGAATCAAATGTAAGTAACAATTGATGTAGATATCAAAAAATGGATTGGTTTCTGGGGGCAATTTCGCAAGAGAGATGAAGATGAAAGTATAGATATAGAATATATCTATTATAATCGACTGAAGAAAATTATCCTGCTAGAACTTTGATTGAAAATTATCCACCTTCAGTCGAAAATTATAAGAAAACCCTAGAACAATTGAAAGCAAGGTTTGATAGAGATGAGTTTTGAGAAACGTGGACTTATCCAGAACAAAAAAGTACATGATTCATGTAGAAAAAGGTACTCTGTTAAAAATAATGTTTTAGCATCTGTGCGTCGTGGAGGAGATGCACTTTGTGAAGCTTCAACGTCACAGAAACATAGGTCAGCCTTGGGCTCTAAGGTCCATTTACTGGAGAATATTTGCTTTGTTTGTGGAAAAAATATTACCTCTGAATTTCTGAAACAACAGCAAAAATTACCTTTTTCACGACGAAATCTTGTACACCAGGTAGGATTGCTGAGTATGAAGGCTACGATTCTGGAAATAGCTGCACGTCGAAGTGACGAATGGGAGCAGCAAATTATTCAGCGTCTTGATTGCGTTGCTGCTGAAGGTAAGTACCACAAACTGTGCCACAAAAACTTGTACCATATGCCCTCAAACAGTGAAGTAAAAAGAGGCCAGTCAAGGTACGAATATATGCATACCTAGCAGAAAACAAAGATGAATGTCAATTTTGTCTAAGTCTCAGCACACATAACTTCACAAGTAATTACTAGCCTGATATTAGAAGTGTCAAAGCTCACCTCACAAGGCGATACGGTGAAAAAAGTATGATCACTGAGGTTGGTCGCGGCCGCAATTCTATCATGAGTTCTAGAGACATTGGACAGAAAATTCTCTATGATAATTGGTACAAAGAAAGAAAAAGCAACCCTCCAGAAGAACGTCTAAGAGTGGTAAAGGTTGCAACACAGATAATTTTGGAAGATATTTGTTCTCAATCATACGACACTACTCAGGAATCCTTCATCAGATGACTTCTTGAAAGATGCTGACTGGTTCCCAAATCTCTAAAAATATTTCTTGAAACCATCATGCTAAAATACGAACGCTTTTCGCTCGATGCCTGGGAAAAGAAATATGTAGGGTTTTATCACGAAATCATGGTCGCAGTGAGGCCCAAATCTGTCCTGTCCACAATTCAGATAAGTTTTGGTACGAACCTATATCGTAGATTTGAGTCAAAGCACCTTGTTAACCTCTGTAATGCTATGGGATTTTCATGCACTTACACTGAAGCAATGCGCGTTGAAAGCTCTATTAACTCCGCGGAGAATTAAACCAACAGATTGAAAGAAGAGCATTAATGCAATTTGTGTGGGATAATGCCGATGTGAATGTGAACACATTGGACGGAGAGAATACATTTTGGGTGGTATAATGATCATTACGCCATATTCCTCTGTTGTACCGGACAAAAATATACCTCGTTTGAAATATGTTCACATGTTGGTTCAGTCTACAGTAAAAAAAGAATGATGGTTTATCAGCAATTACAATTACTGATTCTGAAATAGCTGCTAACAAACTGCTCACTGCCCGCAGACCTGTTCTGGTTAGGGTATACGGAAAATCTACCAACATGCAAGGCATACCTGGCTGCATTTTTCCGTTTCCTATTGGGTTACCGCTACATGGAGCGCTAATCCTTTAGGACTTGTAAAATTATATCTAGCATTGCGTTTCCTATTAGGCCAGCGCACATTGTCTACCGCTACATGGAGCGCTAATCATATAGGACGTTAAATTATATCTGACGTTGCGTTTCCTATTAGACCAGCGCACACCCTCTGCGATCGTCTACAGACATCCATTGCACTACAGTCTATTTCATTATCGTTGTCATTTTTCGAGGTTAATTGGTGGTTACAGGTGGTGCAAGAATTTTGCAATATTTCTCGTTGTGTCTGGTTTTATTATCTCTGTTGATTTTGCACTGAGAAATCCTCTAGCCAAAAATTCTTTACTCATGGATTTTTGGCTATCGTAGCAGAAATTTTAGCTGTAATTGCAAAACGATCCTATTCTATGTAGTAGTAGAACGCACTTTACTAAATTAGCAAAAAGTACCTTGGTTTTAACAGTAAAGTTCTTTGCTGCCACTCATATTTTTTTAAATTATTACCCAACCCAATGTCAAAAGTCATGTAACAGCATAGTTGGCAAAATGAGCGTAGTTATTTAATTTATGTGCGCTGGTCTAATAGGAAACGCGACGTCAGATATAATTTAACAAGTCCTATATGATTAGCGCTCCATGTAGCGGTAGACAATGTGCGCTTGCCTAATAGGAAACGCGATGCTGGATATAATTTTACAAGTCCTAAAGGATTAGCGCTCCATGTAGCAGTAACCAAATAGGAAACGGAAAAATGCTACCTGGTTGGAATGGCTTTATGAAGCAGGTTTCAAAACATCTTGATTATAAATTATATTTCTTCCATTTATTCATGCTCCCCCTACAGATTACGACACTATGCTGACATCTCTCCTTGTAGCCAGTGAAAGAACCTCCGCTAAGGAAACGTGTTTTGTTACTTACGATCAACCCTTATACATAAAACCCAGAGATATCGTAGAGAGCTGTTAATATTCATAGCTCAGGTGTGTAGTAGTAAGACTGGGAGGCTTTCACCTTCTAATGTCATTTATGGGGCTATTGGCGCCATAATGGCCGGGAGTGGACTTAAGGAACTTCTAACAACAATATGCTGAAAACAGTATGGAGAAGATTCTTAATGGGCATGCATACTCAAGAGCTGTGAGAGCCCTGCTTACTAATTCTGCATTGGCAAACAAAATTTTAAACGAAAATATACAATTTACAGTTGAAGAACGATTAGAAACCGGAAAAATACTCAATAGTAGCAAAAGATGTCTTTTACAACATGTCAGAAAAAAAATGAAATTGTCCAAATTCTGATCACTAAATTGGAAACTCCCATGTATGATCTAGAAAAACAAGATCCAACTTCGAAGCTCCGGGTGCAGTACTATAAAATGACATGGCCGAGGTTGTTCTTGCTCGTTGGACTGGGGGAATGGTGTATATGTGGAATATCTGGGAAGGGCTGGAGTATTTCTGGGAGGTTTCCTGTACCACTTCCGAGCAACGCGTTAACATGGGTCCTTGTCAAATCGAACGAGGCAACGCTGATATAGAGAAACTTAAGAATTGGTTCGATATCCACACACCATTTTCATCTAACGAGCAAATACTGTCAATAAGCGGTGGCATTGCTAGGGGCCCTGAAGTTAATTGCCATATGGCACAAGAATTAGGAATTGATGAGGTGAAGCAAATCACTGGAAATTCTCTTGGAAAAGTTGGCTTTGAACGGAAAGACAAGGTAAGAACTTTAGCAACAGCGACCATTAAAGTGCACAACAAGCAGGTTCAAATAGCCATTTTCCAAAGGCTCTGCATCACAAACCAGACAGATAACGACTTAAAAGAATGGCTTTATTATGTGAAGAGGGAATGCGTAAAGGCACAAAATCCAGTTTCTACTCAGCTTTCACTGCACTTCCAGAAAATATTTCTATAGACGCCAGTACGTGCGTTGTGGTGGATGGAGGCTGCTTACTTCATAAAGTGATCTGATACCGGAACAAATATGACAGTTGTGTCTGACGGCTATCCAGAAACTGGGGCTGCAAGAAGCACCAAAACTACAGAACGGTTATGTCGGTATGCAGTCTCATCATACAGCGACATACTGTTTCAAGATTCTACATTGATTAAGGTACCCTAGGAGAAATTGCTATCCAACGATAACAACAAACGATGCCTTATCGATTTCCTTTGTTCAGTATTTAAAAACCAGGGGATTCAAACCAAGCGAGCCATAGAGGACGCAGGCTGCCTTATTGTAAAAACAGCATTGGACATGAGCAGTTCTTATGAAAAAGTAATCATAGTTGGAGAGGATGTGGATTTGTTAATTCTCTTGAATGGATTG